GTATTTTATTATTTTAATTATTTTATTACGAAGATTTTCGTTGATAACAATCTTCTCGACTATTTTATTCATTTTTCAAAATTACTATCGATATTCTGTTATTTTTATTGATTTAGTACTTTTAGAATATTATTATTTCATCACATTTTGTATTAATTTTAATTATTTTAAGTACTTTTTGATTACTAAAAATTCTTTTTCTAATGTTTGGTTTCTTTTTGGAGGTACAATTCCAATTTTATTTCGTGTTTCTGTCAAAGAGTTTTTAAACGATAACTTTCATCAGTCTGCATCAATCGCATAACTTAATTGGACTGTCTCTCTTTTCAGAAACTAATTCTGCAATGCCGTCAAGCAGTTTCTTCGTCGTATGGGGAAGATTGAACGATGTGTCTCCATCCCCTGTTACCGATTTAACAATTCAATCGATACTTCAATTGTGAGCATCGTTCTTGTTATCTCAGTATTTCTCACAGAAATGAATTTTCCTACTATGAATAAATTCTGTTGGATAAGCTGAAGAAGTGAAATTATTGTACGACGGCCATTTTAAAGATGGAAAGATTAATTCGACGAAAAATATTTAAAATTGATAATTTTATATCTACAATATTTTTCCAGAACATAAGAATGCTTCTTCCGAGGAAAAAAGAAAACAACAAAATAGTTGATCATTATTATTTTCTCCAAGAAACTTGTATTTTAATCATTTCTTTAATGGCAAAAATTAATTTCTTAGCAATTTTTCCATTTCTTTAATATTTAATTTTGTCTTTTTAACGTTGAATTTTTAATTTTATTAACGTTATTTTTAATTTTTAAGAATTAAGAAGTCAACATCACCACTAGTTGTTATTTCACGAAAGAATGGAACAGATATTCCTGTCTCAGAAGTCGTTGATTTTACGAGGTATTATTATCAATGTGGTTGTAATATTTCATTCGAACAGTGTTGCTTTTAATTTCAAAATACCGCTGTAAACAGCAAAAATTCCTTGCAGCGACTTGAAATATTTTGTGCTGGATGGTAGCCAAGGGGATAAATTCTGAAAGCTTTTATTTGTTAGAACGTTGGCGTTATTCCCGGATGGGAGCCATTCGATCACCTTAACCTTTATCCAATGAAACCGACCGGTTATTTCTTAAAAAAATTTCCATTTCTATGAGGCTTCGACAAAAGTGCACAGACGTCTGGGTTATCGGTGATCAAATAAATTCATCGTTCATCGAATGGGCTGGTTTCACTGTGCAAACTTAGTGGCTATTCCTTGGGAGGCAATATCGTCTATCAAAATTCCCTATGGTCGACTTTAAGCCAATTAAACCAGTATTATAAATCGATAGATGAGTGCAAGTTTCGCGTAGGAGGTTACTATGGAAGGATGTTAAGTGGTTTGAAATTTATACGAAGTTCCCCGATTCTATTATTAATCTCAATTTCAAGATTATGTCGTAATCTAGAATGCTTCAGACAATTTAAAATACTTTAAGATATTATTAGAAATATTTTAAATACCTTCAAATAGCTTTAAATATATTTATAAAATACTATAGAGTATTTTTAGGCATTCTAAGATACTTTTAAATATTTTTCATTATTTTCAAATTTTTTAAACAATACTCGAATATTATTAAATATTTCAAAACTATCAGATATGCTAATTTGTCTTAAATATTTTAAACATTTCGAGGCACATTTAATTTTCTTTTTATAATTTTCAAATACACTTAATTATTTCTCTAAAAGGTCAAATATTTTCTAGTTCCAAATACTTTTTAATATCTTTTGCTTACTGTCAAACGTACTAAAATACTTTTAAATACCTTCAATTATTCTAAAGATAATTATATAATTATCTTAATTAAATTATTAAATTAATAAATAAATAAATTAGATAATTATATGAAGATAATAATATTAAAAATTTAAGGATTCCAATTAATTTCAAATTCCTTACAAGATAATTTAAATACTCTCATAGTCCAATTCATTCAAATATTCTCTAAAATATTTTCAAATGAACACCCTCGATTACCCTAAATAATTTTAGGTATATTCAATTACTGTCAGATCCTTTTAAATATTCTCAAATGTACAGAACACGTCGAAATATTTCTACATACCTCCAGCTTTTAAATTTTCTTTTCATTCAAATATCTCTAAGCAACTTCAAATACTTCAAAATATTTTCAAAAATATCTTCAGACTCCGAGACACATCAAGCCTTCCAAGACGTATCAAGACGTTTTCAGACGTTCTCAGGTGCATCGAATTATTTCGAAGTGCAAAGCAGATTCGTATTTTCTCCCTTTGGCTTCCCTATTCCCTACGTTCTCGTCCTTTTGAACGCGGAAGGAACGATCCCCGGAATAAAAGAAGATCCCTTGGAAACCGTGCCAACTCTTCAAGAAACTGTGCTTCGAGCACGCCTTATGTATCTCTTTCGCCGCGTTCCATAGACAGTACGGGATGAAAGCTTCGTGAGTAAGCTTTGTGTGATATTTTACATTTCGAATTTGAAATACGTGGAATTTCCATTTCCCTTTGATAATGGGGCCAGAACCGCGAACTTCGAGCCAATACTGGGCCAACAGGAACAACTTGGAAACGAGACCATGCATCCATCGTGGTTTACGGACATTGCTTTATTTATTGAAGGCAACTAGCGATCTACCTGCCAGTTTCCACAAGTGTTCTTCGTCGCTTATTAAATTATTCTATCCATGCCCAGGTCGCGTGACTTGTATTGTCGAGATTGTCAAGATTCCTTCTACATAACTTTTGTGTAGCATAACGGTCACGAAACTGTTGAATTAGTATGAGGATTATGCGATATTCGTGATACTCGCAGTACAGTACGGGATGAAAGCTTCGTGAGTAAGCTTTGTGTGATATTTTACATTTCGAATTTGAAATTTGAGGAAAAGTTAATCGTTAGGGAAATTGAATAGTTAATAGCGTCATATTTTATTGTTAATTTTAATAATTAGTAGTGTGAAATTTAATAGTGTCAGATTTACTGCTACCAAGATTTAGTGATTAGTAGTGCAAAATTTAATTAATAGCAAATTCAATAATTAATATTGTAAAATTTCCTTGTCGATAATTTTAATAGGTAGTAAAGTGAAGTTTGATTAATAGTAATAATCAATAATTCGTAGTGTCAAATTTACTTCTAGCAAAATTAAATAATTAGTGAGGGTAAAATTTAATTGTGGGTAAAATGGAGTAAAATTTAATTAATATTTAATAATAAATAATTGTGTTAAATATAATAATTAGCAAAAGAGAATTGATATCGATGCAAAATTTAATTGTTAGTAACATTTAATTGTTAAAACAGAAAAATTACGAATTAATTAATTAATATTAAAATGGTCAGTTATAATAAATCGAAATGAAATTGTGCTCCATCACGACAATGCTTGTTGGCAGGCAATGAAAATAGCATCAGATAATATAAAAGAGTATAATTGGAAGTTATTACCCCATCCACTCTACTTTCCAGACTCGGCACGAACAGATTTTCGTTTACTCTGATCACTAAAAATTGCTGTGACGAATAGAGAAATTTATATCCATGATATGACAAAGAATATGGATTAAAGTCCCTTGAATTCTTCAAAAATAAAGTTAGAAGGTTACCAGAATTACAGTTGTAAAAAATAATTAATATTTATCGATATATACGATAGTTTTCATTTTTTTAAATCTAAAAATTGCACAAGTAAACACTATATTATTTATGGTATCACCTGGTAATAATTTATTGCTTCCTAGAAATAATTCTCTCTGCAGGAATAATTCAATGCGTTAAAAATTATTCTCTTAAATGAAATTCTTTCACTATTCCTCAGAGAATTAAGAGAAATATTCAGAGACAACGCGTTGCACGTAATTCTCAGTATTTTCAAGGAAAAGAACTGGGAAAAGATCAGAGAGCATAGTATAGGATTCTTTATTCCCTGTTTCAAAATTTTACACTAAATATCAAAGTAAAAAATTCACACGTGCAATTCTTCGTGTTGAATTTTTATTTTTAGGTTCCTTTGTTTGAGTTACTTCTTATAGTCATTTTTAAACAAAAACTACACATTTTATATAGTTCCTCTTTCAAAATTTATCATACGAAGAGTAAATACTAATTAATAGGTTAATAACTACATAAAAATGTCATACAACATATATTTTTTTAAATTCAAGTTAATTTTTCAATTTTTAAAATTTTCTTTTACACCAACCATTCTCAAATATAAAATAATATTTCTGTTGAAGCACATTGTAATTTTAATTAAAATTAAAATAGTTAACAGAGAAAATATTCGAATTAGATCTTCCAAACTTTCCTTAGCTACAATAATTCTATCAAATTCAGGTTTTCTATTTCAAAATTAATTACTGATCTCAAAATTAGTAAAAAATTCATCCCTGTATATGAATAATTTTCTCCAATAATCAGATCACTTAAAACACATAATAAAGCTCAATTCTCAATCGATAATAATTTCATTCTAATTATTGGAAGCGAATTTTAGACAATTTCCGAGATAAACTGAACTTTCACTAAATTCGCATTACCTATAATATAATAAAGTTTCATTCTGCTTATTTTAGTAAACAAAGGAGTAATTACGCAATTATATAGATAAAATTCTGGCCAGCTGAACAAAAAGTATCAAATATTTCGAAAAGTCACTGAGTTCCTATTGGCTCGGTTATCCAAACTGTTCTCCCCCTTCAATGTGTTCAGTTAAACCAAGTTACCTGAATTCCTGCTCAAAGTACCGAACAACCGAGTCCATTAATCGAGAACCTATGCCAATCTAAAGTTTCCAATCTAATGGCCAGTTAATCTGAATCATTCTGCCCGATCGAATCGACTCCGTTCTGCAAGTGCAATAATCGATTGGAGCGGGCGATAACAAGCGTTCCGCCCTAGGGTCCAGACGCGAAAAAGGAACGTGCATCAGGTGGATTGGTGCAGAGTTAAAGCACTCACGTGTAGTGAAACTGTGATCCCACCAGTCGGTCTGGCAGAGATAAGCCTTCAGATCGTCCGCCGTTCGTGCCACTATCACCAATGGGGGTGCAACCAGCGTCCGGATGCTCAGGAACACGCTGAATATCATCACGATGATGCCCAGTCGCTTTAGCAGACTACCGTCTGTGATCTTCACCGCTTTTGCCGACTTCACTCGGAATATCACCGATATTCTGAAACCAAAACGAGCGAATATCGATTCATCGTGACGATCCAAGTATGTACTTACTGTGCTTCCACGAGAAGGAGGCACAGCGTGTTTATATCCCCACTACAGATGAACAGTCCTCCCCACTCCTGTGATCACAGGCAGTAACCGTTGTGATAGGGTAATGGAAACATAGATAGGATAATGGCAGCATCGGCGTAGTCTTCCAATCGTGATGTTAGCTTTCTATTTCTTAATAGTTAACATTTAGATCGGGGGACTATGCATATGCTGTCATTATCTTATCTTGCTAGGTTCTGCTACGGCCCGTCGATGAGCTTCGTCACCATTTTATGCCAATAGCAGTGTTATGCCAACTGCTTATGATCATAAGAGTGTCAGCGAATTTCAACAGCAGGGGATGTAAATACTATGAGCCTTCTTCTCGTGGAAGCATAGTACCTTATCGCCCTAGATTCCAGTGTCAATGTAGATAGACCAGTGTCTACCAAGAGACCCTAATCTATCTCATAAGAACACGTACTGCTTATGTTACATAAGAAGTGTCCTCGATTGGTCATAATATAATAGGTCTACTCATTCTCATTGTCAGTCATTTGTGTTGTAAGATGAAAGAATTTTTATTATCGGTCGAAAGCTTCTGATCTGTGTGCAGGGTGTAATTTCAGATTTCAGATACTTTCAGCTTGATGAAGATCATTATGTAATATTATAATATTATCATTATGTAATATTGTAATATTATGTATTATGCAAAATTGACCTCGACGGGTTCTTTAAAATAAGAAAAAATTGATTTTAATTGCATCGTGTTCTATCTAGCACAGAGGCCAGATTTGCTAGAGGAACTGTGGATCAAAAATGATCTGTTCTACTGCAAAGTGTTCATAATCAAAAGAGTAAACGAGGTATAGCAAAATGGAATGAGATACAGTGACGTAGCACTAGACGTGATCTAGACAGTGCCAACTACTTTACACAAATGTAAGGAATAAAGATTGATTGGTTCTTTAAGATGATCAACGTTGGTCAAGTCCAAGAATTCTTCAAATTTTATCTTATACGAATTGACTCTAAAACCCTGTCTTTATATAGTTCCAGCACCTCAGTTAGGTTTTAACACCTCTATCTAGTCAGAGTAACTATCCACTTGTCACAGGTCTAGTTGCTCACAGTACGTTGACGTTATGGCTGATAAATATTGGAGGAACCTAGGGAAATCTTAGGTTGATGGTCACCATGGTTACTTGGATAGTCGATACATCTGTGGAACACATCAGTCTGTCCCAAACTTTGGTTAATTACTAGCTTTAATAACTTTCGTTGCCTCAAGACTCCTCTAACTTGGGCTAAGACACAATTACAGTGAAATAAAAAGAGTACTATTATAATTTATCCTGTTATTATATCAATATATACACAGGAGCAGCTCCTTCTATTTGCCAGGCAGAAACAATTTGCACGTAAGCGATTATCCCTGTGTCGAAGCTAGGGAGCCTTGGAGGTAGTCTGGGTTTATAGTGATCACTCATATAATTGAAGCTCGGATCAAAGCTTGGCAAAGTCCAGGTTACGTCTTACAGGACCGTTAAGAGCGAACTCACCATCAAGCTAGACCCGTCCATCCAATGTTTGTCACACGTGTCACCAGCAAGTCGTGAACGATTAGGCCATTGCCTAACATGTAGCAAGCCTGGCCAGACAGAGAAACAAATAGCACACGAGCAAAAGCATGCACGAACGAAGAAGATCAAGGACGTGAGAATGAATATTCCTCTACTGGGGGATAAGACAGACCAGAACATTGATCAGAATACGAAATGTTGTAACATCTATCATCCTAACTAAGCCAGAATCTAGTAGACCTTCCTCTCGTGATGTAAAAAGTGGAAATACTTCAAAGTTGTTATTGTACCGAAATTTTGAATTAAGTTCAGAGTCTTCTGATCGTTATTTAGGTCCCAGTACGAAGAAATTTAATAGAAAGTGATCCAAAGGAAGATGGGAAAGTACCAATGGCCTTTAAACGGTCCAACAAATACAGCATTGCCATCTCGAGTAGCAAGAGTGCTCGAGATTTAGTAGCTTGGCCGTTTTCCTGGCCAGCAGAGCGCGTTCAAAAGATGCACCCACTTTAAGGATGAAATCCTCTTTGGTAGGAGGAGTGCACTCGTGGCAAGAAAGGCAGTGACACAGGGACAAATTGGAAAAGGCTGTTTTCGTTTGCGGAACCAAGGCACGCGAGTTGGCCGGCTTTGGTAATCGTCTTAGAGTCTATTCGACGATACGTCTATTAAGAAGCGCACTGTGCAGCTGAATTTACGGCGTGAAACCGGGCGAAGTCTTAATACAGTTTAAGAAGGGCTATCGGGACTCTGAAAACTCGCACTTCACTGTCGCTAGCCTTTGGGCCAAAGCAAGAGGGCTGGTGGCCTTCGCTGAATACCAAGAGAACCCGGTTCTTGTCCTTTGTCTTTCAATTTCGAGAATTACCAGCGTCATCACGATCACAAAAGATTCTTCCTCTGCAGCAGGGACCTAACGATTGAACAGACGATGCAGAAAGTCACTTTGAGTTAGAAACTTTTCAAGCTTGATTTAATTTAGAAATTCGGAGTTATTATGAACGTTACGTTTCACAATTTATTGTTTCGTAACTGTGAGGGACCAGTTGTTACAATTTCATATTTCGTTTAATATCTATCAGTGTCAGAATATTAAGATTTAGGTACCAAATTTAGGGTTTTAAATTTAGGGATTATAGATATGGAATCATACAATATGGAACCAGTCCCTAAATTTGAATTACCAGTGTCAATCTCTAGGTATAGAAGCTCAAATTCGAGTTTCTAAACTCATATCTTTACTTTTTGAGCTTTTCTACTGTTGCAGCCCTAAGTTAAGTGGAGGACTGCTTATGTCCTTATTGCCAGTGTCCCTTGATTCGTATACACTCGTTATCACCTAGTCACCATTTGGGTGAACCTTAGTAAGGGTCAATAAATCACCCTTAAGACGATAGGCATAAGGACCCAAATTATTTAAACATCCACCAACAAGCTCAAATTCGAGTTTCCAAACTCATATCTTTACTTTTTGAGCTTTTCTACTGTTGCAACCCTAAGTTAAGTGGAGGACTTATGTCCTTATTGCCAGTGTCCCTTGATTCGTATACACTCGTTATCACCTAGTCAACATTTGGGTGAACCTTAGTAAGGGTCAATAAATCACCCTTAAGACGATAGGCATAAGGATCCAAATTATTTAAACATCCACCACCACAGAAAGATGCCAAAGCTATCACACAGCCCCAATATTATTCACAACTAATAGGAAGACAGAAACTCACCACTCACATTTCACACCAACTAATCAATAGACATATGAAACTTATAAAACCACAGAGATAGTAGGCACGAGAAAGTTCTCTTAAAAATCCCTAGAAGGACAAGACAAGCATCACGATTAGATCATCAGTCAAGACCCACGACGATCAACTTAGCGCGAGAGACAGTCACACATCAGAACTATTTAGTTCGACCAGGTCTAACCAGGTCTAGCTCTATTAACCTGTTAATCAAGGAATAAACTTTTGTTCAACTCAGTTCACAATGGGGACTTTTTCTTCATAGTTATAAGTAATACCATCACTCCTCAAGTAATAAGAGAAAATAATTTTTAACTTATTGATTTTATTTACTTCGCCAAAATATTTTATAACATATAATATATAAATCAAATAACTTCAATGCAGAAAGAATTAATTGAACGAATTTAAATAACTAATTAATAATTAAAACCCCGTGAAACTCCCACCGTAAGAGTTGCAGTGTTCAGAACGCAACACCTAGTTTGAGTTTTCTAAGCCTTTATTCTCAAATACGATAGGTTATGTTTAAATGCCTTACTAGGGATTGGCAAATTTGGAATCATCGATTTGGACCTTTAAATTTGTCTTGCTACATTTGTATACTAATCATCCTCATTTTAGAGACTTTTGTAGTAGTAAAAACTAAATAGTAAAGTAAATATTTAAGTTTAATTTATTGTAGAGAAACTGAGGACCAAAATTAATGGATAAATTATTTAATTTAAATAGGTGCTGTAGTAAAATTAAATAGTAAACTCTACATCCTAGCGATGTGGAAGTGATCCCTTCCCCTACGTTTTGTCTCTTGTCTTCCATTTTCTGAAGATGTCTTGTGATCTGCGTGGCCCTAAACTGGCCAGTTCTAACCGTTCACCCGTTAAATAAACATCTGTACAGTTTCTCCACCGTTTCCAATGACTACTATACCTTTGCACTATAACTCTACAAATTCTTCAACTATAAATTATTCAACTATAAATTTGTCATTCCAAGTTTGAGTCTCAACATTTGTTTCCTTAGCTTTGGAATCCTCGAGTCCTCAGATTCGAATTCATGGATTCTCCATCTCCATACCACTAGACCCTAAATACCCAGACCCCTAGGATCCCTAGATCTTTAGATTCCCAGATTTTGGTTTCAACATTTGAATACCTAATCCAAAGCTCTTAGATTTGTACACTCAGAGTTGAGACTCTGACTCTGTATTCTATGTCCGAATTCCAATTCCCAGATCAGAATAGCTAATTACAATCCCATAGCTTAAAATTTTCAGACATGTACACGTGTTCCCGAAGCACATAAGAAATTGATGAACTCGCAAGTTTCAGCAAGGGAAGATCTTTAATACCAACCCAATGCTGACGCATTTCTCGGTCCACCCATTTCAATATTTCAATCGGACCACCTCAACAAACGCCAATCAAACTCGTTGAACAGGAGCCAGCGTGATTCGTTTTACAAACAATCCTCGAGTTTCTCAAGGAACTACCTCCTCCAAACACCGGTCTTCAGCCAGGTCCAATCGGGTTCCCCCGTCAAAGTGCCGGTTACTCGGTAACTACTCGATGCAGATTGAGTGCACTGCTCGCTGATTGAAGATTCATCGAATCCGGTCTGCGCTGGCACACCAAGAC